GGGGGACAAAAGAAGCGATACAAAGACACGCTGAAAGCATCTCTCAAGTCCCTGGATATCGACACCATCTCTTGGGAACTCTTGGCGCATGATCGACCGACATGGCGTGCCCTGGTTTACCAGGGGTGCCAGACATATGAACACAGGAGGACAATCTTGGCACAAGAGAAGCGAGCACTCCGTAAAGCCAGAGCTGCAAATGCTGAAGCAACAGTGTCCACATTTCTCTGTTCAGTATGTGGCAGAACATTCCGTGCTAACATCGGTCTCATCAGCCATCTACGGACACACCGTTGATGGCCCATAATCCATAAGATGTCAAGGTCTTCATCGAAATCGATGGACGAACAACAACTTTGGTTAGTCAAGTGACCTCCTGCAGAGCCAGTGTTGGCAGACCTGCGCCATCTTCTGGTGTGACAGAAACATTGCATCCCATTTTTTAAATGTTTTTTGTTATTAAGGTTATTTGCTACTTATCTCACTACAAAGTGGCCCTTTCACGGACCCAGGGGGATGCTGCGAGGGTCGTAATATGAAAAACCGTCGTAAGTCACTTTTTTCAGCGCCATTATAATTTTGACTCATGGCCTTTATTGTTTTATCAAGGTCTAAAATACAAAGAAAAATAAAAACAGGAAATTACGGGAAGGAAAAAGAGAAAGGGAAATAAAATATGAGGTACAAGGAAAGAAAGAAAAAAAAACATTGACTTCTAACTCCCTTTAGTACAGTACAACATAACAACGCCACAACCCCAACTTTTTCCTTTTACACATTAGTATGTAACTACTCATTTCCGTATTTCAATAACGACAAATATATCTCATCGGCAAAACCAAGCCAAAGTTTCATTTTTTTTTCTTCACAAGCACAAAATTCAGAAGTGATATCCAAATAGAAAACATAATGAAATACATTCTCCTCTTTGAATAAAACAATCAATTCGACCATTGTGCAACTTTAAGTTGTTGCTTAACTTTAATTCTGGGAGTTGAGATCCACCCGTCTTAAAGTTGCCAAGGTTGAGAAACACTGCCACACAAGTGCTTCACTGTGCGACACTACAAAAACTGCAGGCACACAAATGCAGGCCCAGCTCCTGGGTCTCCATCAAAGGCTGGGCAATCTCTGTGAATCCTTTCTCTGGCCTTTCCTAGGTGGAAATACAGGGATCGGGAAGGCCACAGCGGTGGATCTGGCCCGGAGAGGGGCCCGTGTCATTTTGGCATGCCGCAACAAAGCAAGAGGAGAATTGGCCGTGTACGACATCAGACGGGTAAGCGCCTGCCGTGCGGTTCTCTCCTTCCTTCCTTCCTTCCTTCCTTCCTTCCTTCCTTCCTTCCTTCTTTCTTCCTCCACTTGTTTTCCTGATGGATTTTATTCATTTATTAAGCGTACGGCGTCTACAGAGGTCATGCAGTCTCTGATCTGCAACAATGCAGGAGGCTGTGTGGCTCATTGCATTGATCGCGCCGGTGCCCCTGCTCGCGGCAGGAGGCCGCATGGTGTGTTGCGCCGTGGTGAGATCGGGGTGATGAACCACGCAGCGTCCAGCGAGCGGCGGCACCGGCACGATGCGCCACATGGCGTGCTGGCCGCAGAACTCGGGCAGCAGCGCGACAGGTGTCAGGGCGTGGGACGCTTGGCTGCGGTGGTCCTAAGGTACGCGGGTGCGGGGTGCATGGAGCAGCTCCACCTCCCCACCCCAGGGAAACGCGATATATTAAGTTAAGACAGGGATAGGCAACCTTGGCTCTTTTATGACTCGTGGACTTCAACTCCCAGAATTCCTGAGCCAGGAATAAAATCTGATATACAGTTAAACTAGACATATCCAATTCCAGCAGGAGTGGAAGGAATAGAATAGAGCTGGAAGGGACCTTGGAGGTCTTCTAGTCCAGCCCCCTGCTAATGTTCATTGTGAAGACAATACAGGTCATCCTTGATTTATGACCACAATCGAGCCCAAATTTCTGTTGCTAAGTGAGGTAGTTGTCTCACACAGTTAAATGAGTCTTGCCCCATTTTACGGCCGTTCTGGTCACAGTTCAGGAGAATCTCTGCAGTCGTTAACAGTAACCTGGTTGTTAAGCGAATCCGGCTTCTTCCCCATTGACTTTGCTTGCCAAAAGGTCGCAAAAGGGATCACATGACCCTGGGATGCGGCGACCGTCATAAATATGAGTCAGTTGCAAAACATGTGAATTTCAATCACATGACTATGGGGATGTAGCAACGGTGATGTGAAAAATGGCCATAAGTCAGTTTTTTCAGCACCGTTGTAACTTGGAACAGTCACTAAATGAGTTGAGGACGACAGGGTGTAATGTCTTTTCCATTGTGAATCTATGGTGTGATGTTATGGCAATTTTATAATGGTTTTATATCAGGTTTTTAAGAAAAGACTGGACAGCCATTTGTCCGAAATGGTATAGGGTTTCCTGCCTGAGCATGGGGTTGGACTAGATGACCTCCAAGGTCCCTTCCAACTTTATTATTATTATTATTATATTATTATTATTATTATTATTATTATTATTATTATTACTACTACTACTACTACCACTATTACTACTACTACCACTATTACTACTATATACAGAGATCCACCACTGTCCTGTTCTACTACTACTACTACCACTACCACTACTACTATATACAGAGATCCACCACTGTCCTGTTCTACTACTACTACTACCACTACTACTACTACTATATACAGAGATCCACCACTTGTCCTGTTCTCCCTTTCTAAATCCTCCCCAGCGATGGCCTTAAGGTCACCAATATCTATTGGAGCATTCTTTCCAATTTCATAGTTTTATTACGGTTTTTAATGTTATTATAACTTTTAATTGTGAGCTGTCCAGAATTGGTTATACGATTAGTGGCTATATACAGGCAGTCCTCCACGTACGACTGCAGTTGGGCCCAGAATTCCCCTTGCTAAATAGGTTGGTAAAGTGAGCCACATCAAATTTTACGATTTTTTTTTTGCCAGGGTTGTTCAGCAAATCATGATTTGCTGAACATGATAGTTAGAACAATTAATCAGTGGAACTCCTTGCCTCCAGAAGCGGTGAATGCTCCAACACTGGAAGTTTTTAAGAAGAGACTGGACAGCCATTTGTCCGAAATGGTATAGGGTTTCCTGCCTGAGCAGGGGGTTGGACTAGAAGACCTCCAAGGTCCCTTCCAACTTTATTATTATTATTTTTATTTTTATTTTTATTATTATTATTATTATTATTATTATTATTATTATTATTATTGTTGTTGTTGTTGTTGTTGTTGTTGTTGTTGTTGTTATATCACTGCAGTTGTTAAGGGAATCACACGGTTGTTAAATGAATCCAGCTTCCCTTCACGTTTTTTCAGCCGCATTGTAACTCTGATCACGAAACGAATAGTTAGTAAAAAGTCGAGGGCTGCCTGAGTTGTTTTATTATAACACCAGAGGTCCTCAGCCTCTTTGCGTTGGCGGACTGCTGTCGTTGTCTTCAGCGGTTTCGGCAGCGGGGGGCGAGGATTGTAGTTGTCATGGTTCCGATAGATGAAACTCTTCAAAGAACTTTGAGGCATTGTTTACGTTAAAGAATCTTTATTTGAGCAATATAGCTTCAGCGGGTACATAGTCGAAGCCAAAACCTGACTTCCCCTCCCTTCAGCACATAGATCAAAGCACAATTCCCTCCTACAACTAACAGTCATAAATCACATTCTCCAATTAGTTTAAAATGCTGGCTTCCTGCCCAGTTCTTTATCCCGCCATGCCTTATCAGCTCTTATTACAATACTAGCTGTACCCGGCCACACGTTGCTGTGGCTCAGTCTGGTTAAATGGAAAAGAAAGAAAAGAGAAAGCGCAAGTTTGTAATATGTTTTTGTTTACGTAAAATTGCTTTTGCATCCAACAGATGGCGCTGTTTTTCAAAAAAAGCATGTTTTTACCTGTCACAGGTGTGACATCTATATAATAGTAGGTATATAAAAACACCCGCGTATTCGAATGCAACGTTGTGTCAAAATTTCAAAGCAATCAGTGAAGAACTTTCGGAGATTTAAGATTTTGAACAAACGAACATTTACATTTTTATTTATATACAGTAGATTGTATGTCTAACTTTGAAGCCTCACCCGATCCGGATTCTTCTCAGGATTCCTTCTGTTCCTTTTCCAGGAAAGCGGGAACTCGGAGGTGATCCTGATGATCCTGGATCTGGCCAACTTGAACTCGGTGCGAACTTTTGCACATATGTTCTTAAAATCGGAGCCCCGTCTGGACATCCTCATCAATAATGCTGGTGAGTGCCCCCTTTTGGGCAATGAAATGGGAATATTGTGGGGGTGGAGAGAGAGAGAGAGAGAGAGAGGTGGGGGGGGGAAACTACAAGCAAGTGCCGTTTTTTTGACAAAAATGTCATAAATCATGATCATTTGACATGTTATCAAGGGCAGACCTGTTGTCAAACACCCAGTGTGGCCACAAGGGGGAGACACTGGAACTTTTGAACTGGGTCGCAGTTGACCTTTTGGTAATTACGTCTGTCGCAACCTCGAATGATCGCAAAGTTACCCATCATAAGATGTAGGCTACTAGAATCCGTTTACTTTTCTGGCAGGGGTTTTTGAGGCTGGCCAAACAGCTGATGGCTTTGACCTGGCCTTCCAAGTCAACCACTTGGGCCACTTCTTGCTGACCCACTTGCTCCTGGACCGGCTGAAGCGCTGCGCCCCAAGCCGGATTGTAATCTTGACCTCGAGTGCACATTTGTTCGGGAAGATCGACTTTCGGACCATCCACAAGCCGGGGGAGGGGATGTGGCAGGCCCCAAAATCGTACTTCAACAGCAAACTAGCCAACATTCTCCACACGCGAGAGTTGGCCAACCGGCTGGAAGGAACCAACGTCACCTGCTACGTGGTTCATCCAGGTGAGTGGAAGTCCGGCTCCAAGAAGCCCCAGATGGAGACACCCCCCAGGTCCGTCTGGGGCTCTGCCAGGCATTTCTCTCCCACTGGGGGCCCCCTCACCCCCTCTGCAGAGCCACCCCGAGAGTTTCCTCCATTGGGCTCAACTGTGGAGGATGGTTTCTCTCACCTTCCCGGGTCCCAGAGTTAATAGAATCCTAAAATCTTAGAGTGGGATGGGCTCTTGGAGGTCTTCTAGACCAACCCACTGCCTAAGACAGGGATGAGGCTTTCCCCGGTCTCTTCCTCCTCTTTGTCCTCCTCCTTCTGCCCTTTCCGTTCCTCCCATCCTTCCTCCTCATCCTCCTCTCGTTCCCCTTTGATTCCTCTCTGGGGAGGCCCAAAGGAAAACGGAGATTTTACTTATCCTGGTTTTTGCACAAAAACATCGGAACTGTCCCTACGTGGGATTGTGAGTAAAGTGACAGTGTTGGTAAAATAATGTCCCAGGCGTTTCTTTTGTTGCATTTACCAACGGGACAGTTGACACCTTGTAACTTTGAACGGTCGCTAAACAAACGGAGGTACGTCGAGGACTACCAGAATTAGCCACCTAGTTCCGTGAAACACACACCTATCAGCACTGTTTTAACCAACCCAGGGAACAAACAGAACATCCTTATGTAATATTATCTGTTTGAAACTACGACAGTGGATTCAGATGTGCAATGCAGGACGCAGATGTACACAAACACACACACACACCCTTTAATAATAATAGTAGTAAAGTTGGAAGGGACCTTGGAGGTCATCTAGTCCAACCCCCTTCTCAGGCCATTTCAGACAAATGGCTGTCCAGTCTTCTTAAAAACTTCCAGTGTTGGAGCATTCACCGCTTCTGGTGGCAGGTTGTTCCACTGGTTAATTGTTCTCACTGTCAGGAAGTTAATTCCACTGGTTAATTGTTCTCACTGTCAGGAAGTTTCTCCTCAGTTCCAGGTTGCTTCTCTCCTTGATGTTAGTTACCACCTTTAAAGCGCTCCATGGCATAGGACCTGGCTACCTCCGAGACCGCCTTCTGCCACAGATTCCCTCCCATAGACCGGTACGCTCCCACAGAGTGGGTCTCCTCAGGGTGCCGTCGGCCAAGCAATGTCGGCTGGCGACCCCCAGGGGGAGGGCCTTCTCTGTGGGTGCCCCTGCCCTCTGGAAC